GATACAGATACAGATACAGATACAGATACAGATACAGATACAGATACACAGATATGATATACTGAAATACTCTTTTCCACACCAAATTTCGTAGAGCTCTGGAACTGGCGTTCATATTTCTGCTAGTCTGGTACTACTGCACCCTGACTATACGGGAGTCCATATTGAAGGTGAATGGATCCAGGATCAAGGGCTGGTGGCGCGCCCATCACTTCATCTCGACGGTGGCCGCCGGCGTCCTGCTGGTCTGGCCGCAGGGCGAGCACTGGCAACTGTTTCGCCTGCAGTTCATGTACTTCAATGTGTACATCAGTGAGTAAACCCGAGCAAGATGTGGATGTCGGTGGATGCATTAATTGGTTTCGTTTGCGCTCTGCACAGGCATCGTGCAGTATTTGCAGTTTGGCTATCAGAAGGGTCTGCTGTATCGGCTCAAGGCGCTGGGCGAACGCCACAACATGGATATCACCATTGAGGGCTTCCATTCGTGGATGTGGCGCGGCCTGAGCTTTCTCCTGCCATTCCTGTTCATTGGCTACGCCTTTCAGGCCTACAACGCCTGGACGCTCTTCAAGCTCGCCTACTACCCGCCCGACGCCCCCTGGCATGTGTCCGTCATGTGCGGGCTCTTCCTTCTGCTCTTTGTGGGCAACATCACCACCACGCTCCTGGTGGTGCCCGAAAAGATACGCGAGCGGGCCAAGGAGCGCTATCGCCTCCAGAGCATGGGCAAGTCCATGAAATTGCGCAAGGAGATGAAGGTGAGTGTGGCCGGAGGCGGGTGTGAGGGTGGGTTTGGCTTGGGCTTTTGGTTTTGGGTTTTGGGGGGGTGGGGTGCAAATCAGAAGGCGAGATGCATGTTAGCCTTGAGACATTGCACTTAATTTGCTTCTGTAGAACAGGACCCTATACACTCTATATCGATAAACGATTAATTTACATAAAATTTGCAAAATCCCGATTATATTATTATTATTTATTAAAAGCATTATTTTCTTAGAAGCATTCGATATCATTTCACTTCTTATCTTTCATTATCATTCCTTACTATTTATTTATTGATATAAATAATTTAACTGTAGTTTTTATATAAGAGATTTTTTATAACCTATATGAAATTGCAAATTTCTCAAACTTTCTTACAAAACCAATCAACTCTCTTTAGGTTAACTTCAAACAGGCGTGCGCTTAACATAAACTGTAATTATTCTGTTTTATTCTCTTCTCCATTGTACCGTTACAGAACAGCGCCAGCGACTTGGACATTTCAAGCAGCTCGCAGGCAGCGTCGGCAGCGACAACGCCGACAGCGGCACAGCTAACTAAAACGACGCCGACGTCAGCAGCAGCAGCAGCAGCTGCTGCATCAGTAACGGCAACAGCGGCGCCAACGCCAACGCCAACGCCAACGGCAACGGCAACGCCATCGCCGGCAGAGAAAAAGGCGAACTAAAGCATAGAGAGCATTTGTGAGAGGTCTAGCGCTCAGTCATATGTTATGTATAATTTTTGGACCCGACACCCCAAACACCGATAGTCCCCACCCCAACCCCCCAACCCCCAGAACCCTAACCCAATCCCTGAACCCTCCCTCCATAGTTTTTCTTTTCGTTTCTTATTTTTGCATGCTTATTTATTGATTTCGCTTTAAGTTGAAGTTTTTGGCTCTCTTTATTATTCCCGTTCAGCTTATTGCAATCATTGATTTTTTTTTCTGCATGTTCGTTCCGCTTTGAACGGTAACTTAAGCCAGACATTCACCTTTTGTGAAGCGAAAAAGAAAACAAAAGAAAAACCCCCAAAAAAAAAAACATAAAAAAACAAAATTAAAAAAAAAATACTTAAGCAAAAAACAAACTCAAAATAGAGTAACATACGCTGTATGTACGTACACACGCTATGTACAATTTTTTTTTTTTTAAATATTCTTTAAGATAATTTTTTTTTAATTTATTTTTTGTTTACTTGGCTGCTTGTAATGAAAAATTGTAGGAGAAACGACGTGAAATGAAATTGTAAATTGTCCTGAGTGCAGGCGAAGCGAATTGATATTGAATGAAAAGAAACTGCGCTCACAACACAACAAAAATAAACAGAGAAAGCAAATTGCAAGAAAAATATTAACATTGTGTTTCTCTCATTGTATTCGACTGGGGATGTGTGTGTGCTGGGCTGGCTCTTTTGTGCGAGTGGGAGTGGGAGTGAGAGCGCGAGTGCGAGGGCGAATACGAATGCGAGAGTGCGAGAGTGCGGACTGTGGACTGTGGACTTCGAGTGCGAATGTGTGGGAAAGTGTTGCTCTTTTTGAATGCGCTCGCCTCTGTTCATGTGGGTGTGTGCATGGAACAGTAATTAAATCGATGACACTGACCACAATTTATTGAATTGCGTGTTAAGCAGCGGCATTTAAAGTTGCTCATTATGGTTTTGGCCATGGGCAAAATGTCTGCAAATGTGAATATGCAAAAATGTTGATTGCTGCCTGGTTTAGTGGTTTATTTGATTGCGCGCTAACGTGCCATCTACATGTACATAAATACATTAAAATGCATTTAAATCTTTATTCTCTTTTATTTCTATAGTAATACCATTTTTAAAGTATTTATAAAGTATGTATATCAAGTGTATTTTTTTTTTTCAAGTGTAATCCAATTTTTAAATATAATATGTAGTGGCATTTCTTCAAGTGTAAGCAGATCCTTTCATCATTTACTTCATCTCCTTCAAACGCATACAAATATTGTGTGTCAGTGAAGACAATTTAATCAGCTGCTCTCCTCTTTATGCTAAGCTCGCAACAATTTTGCAATAGCTTGACAAATACTGCCCGTCTCCCTCGCTCATTCACAAACACTGCTTGTATACGTGTATACATTGTATGTACATATGCATATGCACATGCATATATACATATACTGAAGACCATTTTGTCAGCAGTTCTCTGCTCTCCTTACACCCGCTGTCGTGACTGTTGTTGTTGTTGCTTATATTGCTTAGCATGCTCGAATGCTGTATGCATTTACCGTTAGTCAACAGCTCTCTTCAGCTTAGCTCACTCCATAATTGTGCCTGCCTGCACTTGTCTCGCTCGCACTTGTATAAACACACGTATATCAAGTTCCTTTTACTTCATTCTGTATGCTGAGTCCGTCTCGATCGCGCTGCATGAAGAAGAGAGCAGAGAAATTGTTTTTTTTTTTATTTTTCTTTTTTTCTGCTTATTATAATAAAGTAAATACTAATTGCAGCATTTTGTTGATTTTGCTAATTTGTTTCAAATTTAAAATGTCAGCGCCGACCTCGAACTCGACCTCGACTTTACTTTTTATTATATTTTACTTGTGGTTTTTGTTCTTCCTCTCTTTATTTTTTATTTTTTTTGCAGCTTATCTCTTGTGCGAACTGCGATTTGAGTGAGCTTCGGTGTCTGGGCAGACGGGGCGTATGCTTAGGCGGCGCATGCAGTGAGTTGGACAAGTGAGTGAGTGAGTGAGTGAGCGAGTGAGTGGGGGTGGGGGTGGTCTGGTCTGGCCGGGTCGGGCCGTGTGACTCTTGTTTTACTGATGGCCATTAATGCGGCTGTCGTCTGCCCGTTTGCAACAAAAGCCCTGCAATGCGGCAAAAGCGGCGGGTTTTGTGCACCACGTTGGGCGCCATTTGCCCGCGCCCGCCTCCATTGATGTGGGCTCCTCCTGAATAGGTGGGCGAGCGGGGATGTGTTGGGCTGGTAACCGCAACCGCAGCGCAGGCGGTCATTGAGGCTACATCCTGTGCCGTTCACTTGTCGCGCGCTCCATCCACCCATCCACTCATCCCGTCGTCCCATCGTCCCATCGTCCACATCCATGTCCTGGCCATTTGCTTGTCGCGCTGCCGCAGCCTAATTTGGCGAGAGTTCATTAATTGCGTAAACGGCGCACGCTTTTAATTATGTCGAACGTCGGCCCTGACGCGCCATTGCTCCCGGCAACCGGCGGCGGGTGGGGGCCGGAATGCTTGCTGGATGGCGGCGATTCTGGTCACAGACCGGGCGTATTTAGTGCATTTGTGGCATTGTTTGCATTGTTGTGCAGCAGCAGCAGCGGCAGGGGCAGCAGCAGCAGCAGCAGCAGGGGCAGGAGCAGGAGCAGGGGCAGGAGCAGGAGCAGGAGCAGCAGCCAGTTGCTCACTGCCGCATTTTGGTTGCCTGTTTTTCTGCGCCGCCAACGGAATTTACGACTTTTGGTTGATGCAGCCGCAGCGCCCATCAACGTAACGAAAGTAGGCGGGGAAAGAGTGAAAGAGAGAGCGAGAGTGGGAGACGGAGAGAGAGAGTGCCTGTGTGCCTGTGTGTGCGTGTGTGTGTGTTAAGTGGGCGGCTTTCGGCCGAGCCGTGCGATTATCATTTATTGCAACCGCATACGGGAAACGTCACTGGCATTGTGAAGCGCGTAATTCGTTAATTTGATAAGCATACGCCATGTTGAACAGGCGATTGAAAAGCCCATTGGCCATTGCCACTGGCAACGGCAATTGGCATTAAGGCAACAGCTAACAGCAAATTAATGCCAATGGCTTTGTTTTCAGCCAGTTCAAGTGCCCGCGGGCCGATCGACAAGTTCCGCCAGTTCAACCGAAGCCAGAGCCCCTCCACTGAGGTCGACGGGCATTTCGAGAGATTGCCCCGAAATGGGAATGGAGATACGGTTCCTTGTACATTGTGGGATAATTGTGCATTGCTTATGATATTGATACGTCTTTGATATGTCTATTTCGATATTAAAGTTCGAGTCAGTAAAGCCACTTCCGGATTGATCTTGATTTATCTCTATTTATTTTCGTTTATCTCTGTCTTATATCTTATACTCTTTCATTCTCTTCTCTTGGTATATTCTCTCTCTCCCTCTCTTGCTCTCCCTGTCGATTTGCCTGCATCTATCTTGTCTCTATGTCTATCTCTTTTTCTCTTTCTCTCTCTCTCACATTTAGTAGCATATTTTCCCTCTCACTCGCACTGTCTCTCTACCTCCATCTTTCTTTACTAGCCTCTACCCCCCTCTCTATCTCCCTCCTTCTCTCTCTTTCTTCATCTCTCTCTCTCCTTCTGTCTCTTTCTCTCTGTCCTTCTGTCTCTCTCTCTCCTTCTCTCGCTCTTCCTCTCTCTCTCCTTCTCTATCTCTGTGTAACCATTCCTTACGTTCCGATCTTTCCGCCTTTATATAGCGCATATATAAAATCTCTATCTAATATATCAATATTATCGTAATACATATTTATTAGATTATTTTCTCGGGCAACTCTCGCGCTTACTAGCTAGAGCTGTTGTTGTTGCTGTTGCTGTTCAATAATTCAAATTTAATTTATTCATGCGCGAGAAATAGCACTTAATCAGCTTTTGATTTATTTAATACCCTGTAAAAGGCCACATTAAAGTATTGTTCAGGTAGATGCTTGCCTCATTAGGTTGTTTGGCTTCGAGCATTAAGCGATTTCAGATGGAGGTTTTTTCAATCGAAGAATCGATAATGTGAGTGCTAGCATGAATAAATCGATAAATATAAGAGTTGATAAATCTAAAAATAGAAAAAGAAAATAGAATTTGTCTTTTAAAGATCTCACTCTGTCTCTTTGACTCTATGCCTTTCTCTCTCGCGATCTCTCTCCGTGTTTCACTTCTACTATCTACATCTCTCTCTCTCTCGCTCTTCTTCGCTTTCTTCTTATCCTTTTCCTTTTCTTTTTCCTATTCCTTCTCCTTTTCCTCCAGGATTAGTCTTTTGAAGATCTTACCCTGTCTCTTTGACTCTCTCTCTCTTTCACTTTGTATCTACATTTTTCTCTCTCTATCTCTTCTTCGCTTTCTTCTTATCCCTTTTTTTCCTATTCCTTCTCCTACTTTTCCTTCTTTCCCTCCAGGCTTTTCTTTCTGCCTTCTCCCTTTTTCCTTCATTCTCAGTCTTTGTTTCTGTGCCTGTCTGTTTCTCTCCGATTTTTTTTTTCCATTTCTTCACACTCCTCCTTTTCTCCTGCTCCCACTCTCTCGCTTTCTCTCTGTCTCTCTCTCTCTCTCTCTCTCTCTCTCTCTCTCTCTCTCTTTCTATCTCCTCAAACTTTGAATCCTTCTCCTTTTTCGACTATCTCCCTCCATGTCTTTCTCTCTTTCCCTCTACTCCCCTTCTCTATGGCCACTCAAACCAAAACAAACAACTTTCCGTTGACACAAATTACAGGGTATAAACATGTGCTGCACCACTCAAACAAACTGCTCTAAAATTCTGAATAATTGAGTGGAATTAAACAAATCGTTGGGCTCGACAGCAGACGGAGGCGCTGAATGAGCTGCATCAAAACGTAAAGCTCGTTGTAATCGAATTTCGGCGGCCAAATGGAGCAACAATTAAAACTGATAGCAAATGAATGCAAACAGAAAACTGACCAACTGACGAAAGAAAAGGGCCCCAGCACAGCATTGAAAGTTTATAATGAAAATGAATTTAGGGTCAGTTGTTGTTGTTGTTGTTGTTGGTTGAATGCAATGCGAGGGAGGAGGAGA